GCAAAAATTTCTACATTTCTGTTTTTTCTGTCAAGATGGGGTGCTGAATGTACATTAATGAGAAATAAAATGAACTTTTTTGATTTTAGCAAATGGCTGCAATGAAACAGAGTGAAAAATTTAAAGGGGTCTGAATACTTTCCGTACCCACTGTATATATATATATATATGTAGCCTAGCAGTAGTTTCAATGTATGTAGTCAACAACTGACAGTCAAATAAAGACAGTTCAATTGAGTAATATCTCAACAATATTAATTGTCAGTTTTCAAATTGAACTGGATGAATTATAAATAATATATAATCTAATAATAATCTCTCGTTTCAAGTAAAATAAGGGATGTATTTTAGAATAAGTTACATTACAGAAAGCTTTTGAAAAATGTTATCTTAAAATAAAGTACTTCATTTAAGAAAAATGACGTTCACTGAATTATCTTTGCCCTGCAGCTTTAAATGCAGTTCATTCAGGTGTGAAGTGATGTCAAAGCCATGAAATTATATTCTTCTCTCCTAAAAAGAGAAATTTGTGTGCTGGGTCTAACATTGTGTCTGTGGTTGTTGAAACCACTTGTTTCAACTTCATCCCCGTCTCTTACATCATTGTTAGGCAGTGAATTCATGTGTTAGGATCCTAATGGATCAATCATATTGGGCTCTTGGGTTATTTTCTGTTACTTTTTATTTCGGATGTGAGTTGGTACATTTGCTCAAAAGAGTTGTGCTTTGTTTTATTATCACATATTAAATTGGCTGATTAGCATCAGTTGATGTGATTTATAACACATGTAATTGGTCAGTGTGTTTCCTGCACTGCTGAACGAGTGCCGTAAAGGCCGGAAAAGCTGCGCCGGTTAAAATAGAAGAGCTCTATCGGTTTTAGGTCCAGGTCCGGATACAACAGCGTCTGGGTCCGGACTCGGACCGTGGTCCGCCTATTGGTAACCCCTGCAATAGATATTATTTTTTCTTTCTTTCTTTGTAGGAGGAAATAGCTAAAGACCTGCTGTCTGGGGACTATGAGGAGGAGACCCAGTCCTCAGCTGATGATCTGACCCCTTCAGTCACCTCCCATGAAGCTACCGATTTCTTCCCAAGAACACTTCGATGTAAGTGGCTCATGCCAGAAAAAGTATTTTTTGTCTGTAGCTTTGCAGGTTTAAAGCTTATACAGTGCCATGCAATAATTAAAAAAATGCTACCAGATTTAGGTCATTAGGTTTGCAACAATTATTTTCATTATTGATTGATTGATTAATTAATGATAAATGAATTTCTGCCTATTTTCTAAAATGCTTTAATCATTTGTTCTATTAAATGTCAGATTATAGTGACGTGTCCCGTAACAATTTCCCAAAGTCCATTGTGACGTCATCAAATGTCTCGTTTTGTCTGATCAACAGTTAATTTCTGAAAATATTCCGTTTTCTTTTACATAAGACAAATAAAAGCAGCAAATCCTCACAATTCAGAAGCTGCAATTAGTGAATCCTTGGCATATTTGCTTGAAAAATGACCTAAACATGAATCAATTAATAAAATAGTTGCTGATTATGATGGATGTATAAATACTAAAAGCTACTTTTTCTACACATTTAGAGCTATTATAGCAATGTTGAACATTCCCAAACGTTTGTGTGTGGTTAAAGAAATGTGCTGCACTCAAGGAAGATGCAGTGCCTTTTCTTACAGATTTGCAGACTACAACATTAGGTTGAATGTACAACAGTCGATTAACAGGGTTAACACAGGGTTGTGTTTAAGGTCCTAAAATGTCCGGAATTGTCGGAGGGGAGGCTTTTAATTTGGGTCTGGGTCTGCACGGTTTGTATTGTTCGGTGCCCCTGTAGGCCTCTGGCCGCTCGGGGCTCCACCTTGCTTTCCCCTGTTGCTCCGTCCTTGGTACGTCCGGCCAGGGATTCCCAAAGGCGCTAGCGGCCTTTGTCGCTTGGGCCTCTCGCTGCCTATCTGTCAGGGCCGGTCGGCAGCTGTGGCTGTGCTGCGGATGGCACATTTCAACCAACCCCCCCTGGGCCTTGTCCCGATTCGTAATTTAGCAGAGTTTAGTTTGGTAGGTAATGCATCAGACCTAAGAACACAGGATGTGTCATTGCAATTCTGTACATCAAGTCAAGGTATTTATGTGTCGTTTATCATTTTATCAGCCAACGCTATCTCTGACGGCGATAAAGAGTCGGAGTGTGAAGAAGACGGCCCAAGCCCAGAAGACTCCAGAAAGGTAAGTGGCACATTTTGGAACACATTAAAAGAGGGATACATGTTTTAAGTTGAGTCACCACTGGTTTGCTGAACTGCTCTGTGTTGTGTTTTGATTTTTATCATAGGAAATAATGGTGGGATCACAGTATCAAGCAGAGGTTCCTTCTGGCCTCTGTCACTACAAAGATGAGGAGAAAGGTGAGTACTTCAGCATGCGTTCTTTAATGTGATTGCTTACAATGTTTCTATCCATACATTAAAGATAACGTACTAGGGATGCACCAAAACCAATTACAAGTACTTACATTTTAGTACGTTGCAACTGAGCAGCTCTATAGGCCCAACTGATGTGCGGTTAACGTCACGTTGTCGAGGTATCGCGTGTGGTGGTATTGGAGTAGTAGTAGTAGTAGAGTATGAGTACACAATACCCAATACTGGTGTTGGTATTCGTGCATCCCTATCATATACACAAGGTGACTAATCTTACTGTAATGTACTTTGTTTTGCAGTTTATGAAGATGAAGACGAGTTATTATGGAGCCCAGGTAAATTGGCAGAAAGCAAGGTTAGGACTTTCCTGTCTGACGTGTTGTCACGGACTACAAATGAAAAGACGGGATGTGACAAACCCTGGATGCACGTTCGAGATGACGAGCAGGTATGTCATGTATTTATTTATCAATCAGTTCATGTCGATGAGCAGTGTACATCATTTTTCATCGACTTTCATTCACCATACTAGGGGTGTCACAATTCTCCAAATCCACAATTAAATTTTCAAATCTACGGTTTTGATTTTATTTATTTTTCATCACTGAAGGCTTTGCCATCGAGTCTTCATTTGTAAAGATCAACAGACCAATATTTCTTATGCCCCGTCAGCTGTCTTTTACATTTTGAAAGTGTTTATTTTAAAAAAGATGGGTTACATGTAAATACGTGTTTTGCCACTGTCATCTGTAGTGACCAAAATAAATATTCTGCTTACCTTCATTGTTATATAAAAATAACTAGTTTAGTAGATTTCCCAAAAAATATTTTAAAATTGAATCCAACCATTTAACGGCCCACTAGATAAAGCTCTGAGGGCCACACGGTGGGGCCTCGGCTTTGAGTTTCCTCACCTGCAACAAGCCACCAGATCCTGGGGCAACCGAGTCAGTCTAATCTATTTGTGTCTGATGCCTGTGATTATATTCTGCCATATTTGTCGTGTAGGATGGGGTTACCTGTGGTGTAGAATTGCCTACGAACTGTAGTTTTTCTGTCAGCGACTCGTTTGTTGGGATTTCCCAGTTCTGTTGTTCCTCATTCATCTCTGTCACAGGCATTGGCAATGTTGCCTCGGAAAGTGCAGCTGCAGGCTACCAGTAAGCTACTCTGTGTCATCTTTGAAGTGTCGTTTTTATTAGGACGTGTGGAGGGAAAAAGAAATACTGTGAGAATCACTAACTCTGTTTTTGATTAAGTGGGTCATTTTGGACTTTGAGTCTAAATTGTGACACCCCTATCCTATACTATAGCGATTGTGATGTGAATTCTTCAGAGTAATTGTTTCTAAGTTACATGTGATTCATTTGGCCAATAGTCTAATAATCCACTCTTTCCACATAGGCTTTGCTTGAGCTTGCCAAGTGCAACTACAACATCCGTGAAGCACTAGAGAGACACTGCATCCGTGTAAAGTCCTCAAAAGGTAAGCACAGGAAACGGGTTTCTAGTGGATGCGTGTAGAACCTGTAATTTCCTACCTGACAATGTAATTAGTATGTCGAAGGTAATTCATTTATGGGCTCTTTCAGCATTATCAAAAATATTTCTTTATTGTTGCTGTTGCATAACTTTGCATTCCAATTGCTCGTTCTGTCAAACGTGGCTCTCCGTTTATTTGCCGAGTCGTGTATTTTAATTGCCTAACAGTTTCATTAGTTGAAAAGCTTCACCTGCAGAATTTCTTTGCTCACCCATTCTCAAAAATCTGGATATTTTTTTTAGTCACTTTACCTTATATTTATGTTTGCAATCTTTATAGGAGTGCTGCCATGTTGTGATTGACTTTTAAACATGACAAGGATTTTAATATTTAATAACTTCATAATTTGTGTCCTCAGTGGGAGTGATTGAGGTTCAGTCCTGTGTTTAAAGTCCTAGTGGTTGGTCTACCCTTTCGTTTACACATGTGTGATTGCGTAATTGTGCAGCAAAAATGTATTAATATGTTTCTGGTTTCATTTCAGAAAAGTCACCTCCGTGGTCAGAAGAGGAATGCAAGAGCTTTGAGCACGCACTACAGATGTATGACAAGAACTTTCACCTCATACAGAAACATAAAGTGAGTCTTTATTTCATGATCTTGCGAGACAAGATGTTTTACACATTATGAAAATGTACACGTAAAATTAATTAATGAATTACTCCCCCCACTCAGGTCACAACACGAACAGTAGCTGAATGTGTGGCGTTTTACTACATGTGGAAAAAGTCAGAGCGCTTTGACATCTTTGTGCAGCAGAATAGATTTGGGAAGAAAAAGTACAGCAGCTACCCTGGTGTAACGTAAGTGGCAGAAGAAGAAGGATCAGTACATGTGTTTTCATTCCTTTTGTGTTTTAGCTTATGATTAATACAGTGAGCTCTGAAATGAATGTAATTGGGAAGAAACTCACGACTAAACATGATTCTTTGTATCCAGTGACCTGATGGACAGGCTGGTGGATGAAGCAGAGGGTCTGGCAGTGGATAGTTCCTCCTCTGTGTGTTCAGGAGCAGGTGGAGGAGGAAGACTGGAGACCACCACAGACCAACAGCTCAGCCTGCTTAACTCCATCACTGCCAGCGACCTCACAGGTCAGTAACGGGACTTAGTTCTGCACACAACACTGAATTCTGTTATGACAAACGACAGTATTACATTTTAATGGCATACTAGTCTATGACTTTTTGACATTTGTATGTCACACTATACTTTATAAACACACTGCCTCCGTGCCGGCGACAGCCGTGGCTAGAGGCAATATGTTTTTTAGCCGTCTGTCCTGTTCTTCTTAAGTGTGCGGTGTTTTAGGAATGCCTTCAACACATTTCTTAAAGTTTGGCACAAATGTCTACTTGCACTCAAGGATGAACTGATTAGAACTTGGCAGTTAAAGATCACTGTGACCTCACAACATACCTCAAGAATGTATATTGATGAGTTCACACAAATGATAAAATGATGACATTCTGGAGAGACATGAATGTAAACTGCAACAAGACTGATTTGCGAACATACCACCGTGAGGCGGTATCTCTAGTTTGTGACTGTTTTTATGACATATTAATGGCACACTATACCATTATTATTTTATGGCATTTCAAGCAATTTATAGAGGAATAAAAATGACAATTATGACATGAAACCAGCCATACAGAAGGAAAAAACTATTATGTCTTCAATCGATAACATAGAAATGAAAAATACAACACACAAGACTTAGAAATATCGAATTAAGGTCGATCGCTTCTCCCCTGTTTTCCCTCTTACCTCCGCCATATTGGTACCTTCAGCTAATGGGCTCGTTCTAGCGCAGTACCCGGATCAGCGCTCTGAGCCGATCAGAGATCCAGGTGCCATTTCTATGCCTATTATTAGGAGAGCAACAGATCATAAAACTCACGGAACGGATCAACACAAAAAGAAAATGGGAGCAAATATTTGGTCGATACAGATATCTTTTGTTTGTTTTTGTTATAGCAGGTGGTAGACGAGGCTCCAGACTTTATTATTTTTTTTTTTTATCACTAGCCTCCCAAAAATAATTGAAACCACTCTGTGAAGTCTGTGTAAACTATTAAACATTCTAAATGATATATTGGTTATTTGCATTAAAACAAATGAATACTAATTCAATGATTAGTAGCACTGTACCATGACTATTTCAATACTATGACTTTTGGACTTGTACAACATTTTAATAGCATACTATGACATTTTACGATTACCCTGGTGCTGTGCCAGGGGTTGTCAATAGTTTAATGACTGAGTGCCAGCATATAATAGAGCCTCAATCAGCATGTTTCTTGACCAGAGTCTCTTATTCCCTCCAGTTATTCAATATTAAAGTGTCCCCTCTCTTTGCAGCTTTGAGTAACACTGTAGCCACAGTGTGCAACCCTGCAGAGGTTGGGTGCATAGACTCCTACAGCTTTCCGCCTCTGGAAAGTCTCCATCGTGGGTCCCTGAACCACGACGAATCCCTTGGTTTCTCTTCTAATGGCTCAGACCCCGACTGCCTCAACATGCTCGACGCCGGCTTCTACCACTCTGATCTTGGCCAGCTAGGAGGAGTGTGCGTCAACAAGGACTGCGAGCGGCCCTCCAAGAGACTCAAGCTGGCCCTGCCGGACTCCTTTATCAATGACGTGTCTGTGGGTAACCTTGGAGTGGACTTCGAAGCGCGACGGACAACAACGCACCACCACCGGATCACTGGCGCCAAAATGGCAGTGTCTGTCACAGACTTCGGGAGTTTGGCTGGCAGCGGCGAGCCCAATGGGTTTCTGGGAGCACATGCACGGCACCACACACAGCACACTGCAGCACTTCAGTCAGAGTGATCTTCCTCATCGTCATCCCTAGTTCTTCCCTTTTGAAACCCCCTATCCCACTTGTACATAAGACTGACCTCACTGGAGAATCCAATTTGTTAAAAAATATTATATATGTATATATATATATATATTACTTTTTTGTTTTCATTTTTTGTGTAATATGACATCAGTGATGTCTATCATATAGAACTAAAATCTTGATTTCTCTCAAGAGTTTATAGCCATTTATTTTATTCTTGTTTTGCGGTCTTGAGATGTGTAACGTCCATGTACGGAGGGGCCCAGAGGCTGCAGTAGGAGAGTTGTGTATCTTACTTCCTCACATCTTCAGAGCTACAGTATGTTATCCTGCCGTTCTTTCAGCTGCCAAAATTGGCTCAGTTTTCTGCCTCTATTCTCAGTATTTAGTCTTTGTTGTTTTGAAGTGGTACTTTTTGAACTTAAAGTTTGGTTTACAGGTACTCTTCAGTAACCAGGCTGTAACTATAATGGTTATATTAGTCCCCAAATAAACTTTGCTGGCTATTGTATGAAGAGCAACACTAGCATGGAGATTAGCTTGGTGCGGTGGTTTCAGCTGCTACGGCCTTCTAGTTCGGTTTTCTTTTCTTATTTTCTCGTGTGGAAGCTTGTCTGCTCGTTTACTTTAAAAAACAAATCCCGTTTAGTCAAACTGAAGCCCCTGATTCATAGTTTTTCATTTTTAAACAGCTAATGGAGGATACCTGTGCAGAGTAACATAGTGGGTGTCACTAGGTTTTTTTAAGTTTGATATTCTGCCTCTTTCTGAAAAGGTATCGGTCAGAAAAACATAACTGCAATACAAAGATATTGGTTACATTAATAGTCATTTAAACTTGAGACATTATCTGGTGCTGTAGAGTGTATTTATTACATACACGTTTTCCTTTTGTGAAATTTATTTTGATCCCTTCAATCATGCTACTTTAATGCAAATTTAGCTGTACGTGTCCTGTATATGTCCCATCAAGTAATGCCATTGTTAGGCCACTTAGCAAGCTGCTAGCAGTATTATCTCTTTATTTAAAGCCACTTGGATTTTGTATTCAATATCTGCCTAACCTGTACTGACTAGAGAATGCCTTGTGTAATCTAGTCGACAGTTTCTCGAAGTCTAGTAGCAGAAATGGAGCTGTCGTCTCTTGACTGAAGTCCATAATTGTGAATTTTTAAATGTTTTGCGGGTCATCTTCAGTTGATTGGATGCAGTAGTAGTGTTTACTTAATTTATCTATGCATTGTGCTATGAATAATTAGTTTGTTTCAGGGGTACATCATGTTTGTCATGTCCATAGATGTAGTAATTCACCGTTACGTGTGTACAGACAGGATTCGTGCTTATAAACCATAAAGTAATTAATTTTCCAAGCCCAGCATCACTTCTGCATTTCATGTAAATAATTAGCAAATAGCCTTTAAAAAGTCTATTAACTGACCTCTTACACTTGTGAATCTATGTTGATACAAAGGTTTTAATTTGATTCCTTGACAAAAGGCAATAATTTGTAGATATGTACAGATATTTTGGGTTTTACATTTTACCAGTTGACTTGGTGTTTGAATTTCTTTTCCTCTTTTTGGAAAGTCATGATCCCCAGGACACAGCTGAAACCACGCATGCCAGCTGTGTCTGTCTCCCCAGTGTACCACTGAAAACGGCTTTACCTGAAGACTTATTGATATTACTCAATGTTGCAATTTTGCTTTCAAAACTTGCAGCCATGTGTAAAAGACGCTCGTCTTTCTCTTTTTTTACTTTCATTTTGTTTCATATCTATATTTGTCTTGATGGTAAAGGGATGGCTGCTGTTCTAAGTATGTGGAGAGCTAGTTTCTCTTTTAATGCAATGTGCATAATGCAGTAGGTCCTCAAAGCTCTTCTAGCTTTAGCAGTGCAGTGATATTTATTTCACCTGTGGTTTGTACAAAGATTCAGAAAAACTGTCAGAATGTAAAGGCCATTAAGTAGTAGAAGTAGGTTTTTCACCACCCTGTGAACTCTCGAAAATGTGATATTTTATTGATATCTCCGGTATGAGACGTGTGTGCAAGAAAGCACTAAACAAATTTATTTTATATTTTGTATTGTGTTTTGAAGTTTAAAAAGGAAAAACAAATATAGCAGTTGTGGTTTTGAAAAAGAAAACTCGAGTCCTTTGATGAAAACAAAAACACCTTTGTGAATAAAAAACTACAAAACTTAAAAATGTATATCCAGAAATATAGACAATCAAAAACGTCACTATGAGAAATGTTCAAGATGCTATCTTTATTGTTTATAAAAATTGTACATAAGCATTGAGTTTTTTTTTTTTTCTTTGGTTAAACATTATTTTGTATTTCTGTTGTACTTTAATACCTTGTGTACAGATCCAGAAATAAAGCTCTGGAAAAGGTGCAGAGATGACGGCATGTTCTTTATCGCCACACAAAAGAGTTTAGAAGACTTTTCTGATTCATATTAGATTGGATTAGTACCGAGTTATGTGTTAAATCTACAAACTTAAAGAAAACACCATTATGACTGAAACTACATGAGTATTTATACTATTACATTGGGAGAACTTCTACAAATTAAATTAGATTGGAATTTAGTATTTTTGTTGAGAAAAGTCAACTATGGGTTGGCTGTGGCTCATAGGCAGAGCGGTTAGATTCCCTTGCTCGTAATTTAGCTTAGTATGTTTGGTGCCAATATAATAATTTAAGGATTACCAATGGGACAGGTTGTTTGAGGGCCAAGCCAATAGGTAGCATTCTAGCAGATGCACACTTCGCGATTGTAACTGAGTAGCAAAATCATGTCCCCTTCAAGCCCGACGGGTAATAAGCCTGCAATGAGATCTCTCCATGACAAGTGCATCTTGTGCAAAATTCATAATAAATTTATCAACAAAAATTTTAAAAATAACTTTTGATGTTTTAATCATGGTAAATGTCCCTTTGAATGATTTTTTTTTCTACATTATTGACTAATAATAATTATTGACTAATAATGTAGAAAAACAAAGATTTTTAATTCAGAATGGTCCATATTTATTTCAGGACTGCTTAGGTCAGGGGTATTCAATTTAAATTCCAAAAGGTCCAGATTGAGAAAATCTCTTCGTGCAAAGGTCCGGAACATTACAATAATATCTAACTTGCGCTATTTAGACAAGCCTAGTTGTAGTTAACGTCTCTGTGTAGTCAACAACTGTCAAATCAAATGAAGAATGTACACCACTTATTTTTCTCAGTTTTCACATTTAACTGAATGGACTATAAATAATACATAGAAATACATGAATAAATGTTTATACCTTGGTATTGCTACTTTAACTATCACTCAGCTTTATTAACATCTCCTTATGATAAAAGATTAATGCAATCTACATTATTAAATATGAATCAATGCGATGACAAGATTCAATATTTTTTGTTGTTATTCATTTTTATTGTCATGAGGTGTAACCCAAAAAGGAATATAAATTAATTATATAATGCAGCTGCTGGTCAGCTGATACTGGAACAAAGACTCCTGCAGCGCCTCCTAGAGAGCAGGAAGGGGCTTCTCCTCAGGAACAATGCTGCAGTGTCTTAAACTTGCATTCTCTCTACTGGACAGCAGGGGGCGACTCCTCTGGTTGCAAAAAGACGTCTGATTATATAGAAGACTATGAGAAAATGACTCTACTTCTCTCTTGATTTATGACCTCAGTAAACATTGTAAACATGAGTTTATGGTCTCAATCTAGTTTCAAGTCTTCTTCAACATGATGCTCATTTAGTAAATGATGGTCCACTTCTGATCCACTGATGCCGATCTCATCCCATCAGCATGGTGTCATCTGAAAACTTACATTGCAAACTTGAGACAGAGTTAGCTCACTTAAATAAACCCTGATTGTGTAGCAGAATGTGTGTTGCTGCTGTTGTTTTCCCGTTAAGCTAGTTAGCGTAGCCACCCAGAACACTTGCAGAGCATCAGCGTTTTTTTGTTGTGGTTTTTTTTGTTCCGGTTCAGAGGTCACACAGCCCGTTGTCTCCTACATGAGCGCAGAAAACATTATATTTCCCACAATTTAAGCTTCTGCATTTTCCAAATGCAGTAGTATTATTCAAACGTATTGTTCGGTTTGTAAGCCTCGTACCGAACGGTTTAATACGAATACGTATATATATACAGCCCTAGAAACAAATAATAACCGTAGCTGTGGCGCCATCATGAGGTTATAAGGTGGTATTTCAGCTGCATGACAGCAGTGAAGGCCCAGGTATAACATGCACGGCCCGCCACTGCATTTTGGTGACCTCGCCTGACCTCTCTGTACTAAAACCTAATTTTGTTCTGCTTCACTTTATCAAAGTCAAAATTTGCAAAGAGACTGTTCACATGTTGTGCTATGATTTGGGAGAGGTTTTAGACTTGCAGCTGCATCATTCCAAAGAAATAATAACAATAAAAGTGTTTTTCTTTCAGGCGAACCTGAAACTTTTCAATTTGAGCTGTGTGCCATCTTCATTTACTCTTAACCAGTAACATATACACTGATATTTACACATCTGAACAAATCTCACAAGTGTTACCTTTATTATAACATCAAAATTATTAAAATAGAACTTGTAGTTGCAGAAATACTCTCTATTTAGTATGGGTATGCAATTTTCGAGCAGAGGCCTAAAAATAGGGCTAGGGTTAAGAAAATGCATTTCTGAAAAAGTTGAGTTGAGTGAAGCATCAGCCTTGTATTCTGCAGAACACTGCTGTTGTTGTTCTGCACTCTGGTTATTAATGTTTCAGAGTACTGTCATTCATGTTGATGATTTAATAAGCCTGTATTGTTGTTGTGTATGTTGCACCCCCTGCAAAAGGGGGATAAATAATCACGAGAGTGATATGATGATGATGTTTTTCCTCAGCAAGAACTTTACTGCAATTCAGTTTGTACAAAAAGACAATCATTGATACAGGAAGAGATTTACAGGAGAGTAGAGAGTGCATACGCTATTTATGTTAAACACTATTCTAAGTATTACTTGAGCTATTTCCCCGAGCACAAACTAGCTTAAACTCAGTAGCCTACTGTTAAAACTCTCTTAAAGTGCATAAAAGATATTATACAGATAAAACAAATAAAATATCACTACTAAATATTACCGTCTGTGTACATGTGAATTCACAAAATGGTGGTGTGACGCACACAAAATGTATGGTCACATCTTTGTTATTAGGTTCATATTTGAACGAATTTCTGTGATTTGCTATCATAATTAAACTTCCTTTAGAAGTGTATTTTTATCTATGCCCAGTAGGTGGCAGTGCAGCGCTGTCGTTCTGCCTCGCGACCAGAGATTTGTAGGTGCGCGTTCAGCGTCTTCTTATAGCTTGAGAGGACACTGAAGCGAGAAGCCACAGCGTTTGCCTGTTTCATTTATTTCCTGTTTTTCTCAGGTTAGTAACATGAAAAGTGCACAAAGACACATGAAATCAGGACCAATGTGTACGTAACATTTGTATAGAGTATTTTGTGTTTTTTATGTAGTTGTTTGATAGCTACTGACTGTTAAGACTGACTGTTGAGTGTTAGCTAAGCTAATAGTAGCCCTGTGTTACATCCATTGTTTTTATCTGGCTCCTACACAATTAACTTTTTATTTATGATGAAATGAATCGACTCTTTATGTTCTGTTAGGTCGATCCATACTAAATATGTTAATTAATGTGACTGTAATATGTATATAAGTGTTGTGAATGTTTGTTAGCATTTGTTAGCTGTTCGCTGTACTGGTGACGCACCGCCGCCATTTGGAAGAGTGTCTCACGTACGCCACAGTGGCTGTGGGCATATTGCCAAAGTGCAGTTAGGAGGGGTTTTAGCCCAACAGACAACAGATATGTTGATCAAACATGTAATAATAGTAGTGTAACCTTTGTTATTTTGTTTATTACAATTTAATGTATTTTTCCTGTGTTTTGAAATGGAGAAACATATACAGAAGACTGTTTTCACTAAAAGAAGTGTAAAATAAAGATAGCTTGAGAGGACACTGAAGCGAGAAGCCACAGCGTTTGCTTGTTTCATTTATTTCCTGTTTTTCTCAGGCACAAAATCTGTGATCAGGCCCATTCATGCTGGGACCTGTAACAGTGGCAGTAGACGCAGCTACTATTACACCGTCAACACGCGGGAACTCACGTAAGTTACACACACTACAGTACTCTCGGTAAAACTTAGCTTTAAAGTACCCAAAAATGTAACAACATTCTCTTAAAAACGTATGACATGTTAGCAGATTCATACAGACACGTTAACGCTGTTTAAAATCCACAACAAACCTTCAAAAGGGGGATAAATAATCACGAGAGTGATATGTTTTTCTTCAGCAAGAACTTTAATGCAATGAGGAAAAGATCGCGGCGGTTTCCCCGACATATGTAGGTGGAGACCAAAGCAATCGATCTCAGACTCAAGATCAAGACCACTATGTAGATCACAGTTTAACGCTACCTATCTCAAACTACACAATACAGAACAAAGCAAACAATGCAAGAAAACACAATCTTATTATTTCAACCACGTATTCATGTGTGATGAGTTTTAACTCGTGGTTTCAGTAAATCGTCATGTTATCTATGAATGATCCTCTCAATCACATCACAATCAACACAATAGACCATGAAATTACTTTAACTTATAAAAGTGCATGTTTTCCAACTTGTCACATGTACATTGACAGGAGGATCAGTGATTGAGGAAGGTTCCATGAGGTGACAGAGATTCTATGACAGAGATTCTATGACAGATTCTATTTAGAATTTTCAGTGTTCTGAACATCACAATCTCTGTGTCTTTAGCCATAACCAAGCAACCTTTGGATAGAGATGCACCATTATGGGAGAGAACAACTTCTTTCCACTGAGACAAACGGATAGAGACACAGCTGCTCATCTTCAACACATGGAGGAGATCCAGATGATCCAGATCTTCACGCCTCCAGTTTGGAGAAGCAGACAGGAGTACCGGCAGGTAAGAAAATGAATGTACTGCTGTAGATGGGGGAAACATCAAAATGTATTTTAGACACCGAAAATAAAATTAATATGCGAGTGTACACTATATTTAGGACATATTTTGGATATAGCTTCTGTGGTCTGCA